ATTCCATCAGTGATCTCAGCAAGTTTCTCATTTGATTCCTTCTACCTTCCATCATGTAAAAGTGCTCGGGGTAATTTATTAGTGTTATGACTAGCGAAATCTTATACAAATTCATTACATTTCTTTCATATAAATTCCAGAAGAGTAGTAGGCACCATGTTTCATGCCGGTTTCTAATAACAGATTAGGATTAGAATTACATTTCTTATTTATTAATTTAATGAATACCTACCATAAAATTTTCACGTAATTGTTTTGGTAACTTCTTTATTATATCTAATTCATCTGCAATAACTTGATTACCCAATGGAACCTTTTATGTTAATTTGTCTGTAAATACCCAATTTATGGCTGAGAACAAATGTTGATAAAGAGTTGATGTGTTTTTTTTAAGTTTAGATTTCAACTTATTTATATTGCTTCTGATTTAAGCTGAACTAAGAAGTTCTTCTTCATTTACTTTTACAACTCCAATGGCTTGCAAACTAAAAATAACTTTATATGAAATGTTAAACTAACGCAGACATAAAGTAATTAGTTTATACCTATACAAATAATATTATTTTTAGAGGCGCATGCGCTGTCAGATTGTAAACAAGATTTCATTTTATGAGGTTAGCTACTCTATCACGCAAACAAAAATCTTGTGTAATGCTAAAATATCAACACAAAATTAAGTATGTATATATAGCTTAAAGAACCCTCTTGCTGTCAAGGAAAATCCTGTTGGTAGGCTATAGGGAACTTAAACTATTATGTCCTCTTCCTTAGTGACATTGCTATCTGCGTCTTTTTCATCCAAAATTAATATTTTATAGAAAGCTGTCGTCAACTTACTTCTGAAAGAATTTTTAGGAGAGTTGAATGACGTGAATAACTTTGAATATTTTGACTATTTGCGAGAGTTACTGCCTGAGATATAATACTCCTCAGCTCATCCTTTAATACTCATAGATCGTCTTCAATCCCTTGATAGATGACGAAAGCGCCAGTAATATGCTCCTCTTCTGCATTTACTAAGAAATTATAAATTTTAGTAGATAAATGAGTATTTATGCTAGAAAAAATAAAAAGCGACAAATAATTTTATTTCTATATACTTACCCTTTTAAATCTCCATTCATAACCTCTCTAACTTGCATTTATGTTAGAGGGAGAAATAGGAGAAATATGCAAGGCACTTTACGCCAAAATTTTATGTTCGTTAGTAAAAAATATGCGAAATGTGCATTGAAAATCTCAATATTTACAAAGGACGTTGGGATAATGCATATACGAACTTTTTTTTCGCCTGACCACTTAATACTAAGACCTGACAACGTTATATAAATATGTTCAGTTCAGAATATAATAGAAATAGCCTGTAACTTTGGAATAAATATACATATTAATAAATGTTATTTCGTTAAATCTTATTCTGCTAAATGTTGTAAGGAAAAAATTTGAAATATTTTGGGGATCGATTTATGTGTGAAATTATTTTATCGCACAAGTATAGTTTCACAGATGATTTGCGAAGTATTACCTATTACATCATATGCACCTTAACGAGGATCAAAAACGTGTTAATTTATGTCGCATACGCCAACATGCATTGTAACTAGACAATATATTATTTTATTAAGATAATATTTAGGATCTGGGTTAAGGATTGATTTGAAAAATTCAGCGCATAAACTCACAATTATCATCCAAATCTGAGAAATTCACGGTAACATTCTTTCCGTGAATATAGTATAGGAATTCTAACGGCAGTGAATCACATATTCTTTGTATTTCTGTCGATTTATCTCTATATTTCTCGTAATCTGAAATTCTGATGATGTTTTCAAAGTTATATTTTTTATTAATATGATAATATTTGGGATTCTGTAACCATTTTAACATGTCAAACCAGCTTGTACTTCTAACAACTATATAACCTTGCTGATATAATACTCTAAAAGTAGCTATGTATGCTACAGTACATAATCGTTTATATAACTGATTTTTCTTTGCTTCTACCCAAGTATCAGCAAAATAAATATTATGCTTATTTTTTACATAAAATCGGTCACTCACATAATTAGATTCTATTAGTTTTTCATTAATAAAATGATATGTTTTACCACGAGGAACAATATCTAAAAACTTCTTATCGTCAGGAGTATCATCATTCCTCACCGCCTCCCAAACCTGTTTTGCCAAAGATTCAGGTCTTTTTTTGTAATTCTTGTAAGTTCGCCAGATAACTACTGCATAGAAATTCTCAAACTGATAGTTGTATTGTCTCGCAATCAAGAATCCCCAAGATCGTTTCATTGATCTTCCTGAATTTCTCGAAAAATACTTTATTAAAATAGTTATCTCTTAAATGGTAAAAAAAATATAAAGATATTTGAGGAACAATAGAAGTTCACCTGTAAGCAAGACTACTATATAATCGATTCAGCAGATTTGTCCGCAAACTATTTAAGGGATAGATTAGAGAATCTAATCCAGACTAGGTAGATCATGCATAGCACCTTTGGCCAATTTTACTAGGCAATCATCCATACAGATTATGTAACGCAAAAAATAAATTATATTAGTTAAACTAGTTAAACAATCGTGACTTTTGTCCTATCTCTTAATCTTAATACGGGTTGATTAAGATGGGTTATAGATGGTAATAAGTTATTTTGTTTTGCATATAGAGACGAAATAAATATTTCGCTCGTTTATTCAGGAAATAGAGAATCAGGTGTAATTTTTTCAGGATATAATACCCCCTCTGGTTAGAAATTTTTTTACGCAATATTTCTGACTTTGAGCTTGCAAGAAGATGGGCTGGTCCCTTTAGGACTGCTTCTATATGTTTATTAGCCTTGAAGCATTCGTTATCCCAATGATGTTTTATCAAATCTTCAGGTTTAATCTCATACCCCTATTTCTGCCATCTACTGAAATATGTCTTTTTTGATTTTTCATCAGTGATCTTTACTAATTTCCAACAATTGAAGCAAATAGCTATTTTGTAATTGTGAATATTAGTTCTGTGATAACCAATGGCAACTTCTCTCCCTTCATAGTTATCATAGTATGTCTTGATTACTCCTTGTCCAGATGATCCGAAAAGGCAGAATACATGATAATAGCTTTTATAGTCTTCAGTAATCAATGCTTGCAAAGCGTCTTTTACACGAATAGCCCATTGCTGAGGAGTTTCATATAGACTAATAATAGATAAATTATCATATCTTTTTTCCACCTCAATCATCTTTTCGAATTGACCAGAATAAGGAAAACCACAACGGTTTCAATATCGTATTCAGGACGAAGATTGACGGGTTTAGGCACAAATTGATTATAAACCTTGTCTAAAATAATATCAATGCATTTATTGGACCTAGGTTTATTAACAATATTTCCTGACATAATTATCAATTTATAGCGTTTTTAGCAAATTCTAGCAATTCTTTAACAACTTATACTAGATGATATTATGATTCAAATTTATAGCGATTTTGAATAATAATTCGTATATGTAAAACATTACTAATTCTCAATGCGATTAAAATTATCCTTGAATGTTGCTTGCACAATTGCTAAAGAACGCAATGGATTTTGTCTTTCTGATAAGTATATTAATAGCATGACTCCTTTAAAATGGTGTTGTTCCAAAGGTCATGAGTGGAATGCAACACGTTATAGTATAAAAAATCGAAATTCATGGTGTCCCACTTGTGCAGACCATCATCATCCATTTCGTCTTGAAATTGCTAAGAGGATTGCCAAAGAAAGAGGCGGACTATACCTTTCCAATCAATGTAAACCTACCAAAGAAATATTACAGTGGAATGCTCTAATGGGCATGAGTGGTCAACAACTTATAATAATGTTATACATGGAAAATGTCTTTCTGAAAAATATATCAATAGTAATTTGCCATTATTATGGCGTTGTGATAAAGGTCATGAATGGAATGCCTGTCTCCATAGCGTAAAAAATCATAATACTTGGTGTCCATATTGTGCAGGTCGTAGTGTATCTAAACATACTCTTGAAATGCTAGAAAAATTGCACATAGTAGAAGTGGGAAATGTCTTTCTGAAAAATATATTAATATCATGACAGCTTTATTGTGGCGTTGTTCTAAAGGGCATGAATGGAATGCAACACTTAATAGCATTAAGAATGCAAATTCATGGTGTCCTCATTGTTCTGGACGATATGCTTGTGATATTGATCAAGCCAAGCAAATTGCATTTAGCCGAAATGGGGAGTGTCTATCTACCTCATATTTTAATAACTATTCATATCTATTATGGAAATGTGCTAAAGGACATATATGGCATGCGACACTTAGTGCGATTAAAGATCGAAGTACCTGGTGTCCATTCTGCCCTAAATATAAAAGAGAAAAATTATGTCGTGAAATTTTAACAGAATATCTTTGCTCTCCTTCACTAACCCGCAGGCCTGAATTCTTAAAAACACAAGAACATTTGAATGGACTAGAGCTTGATATATTTTATCCACAGTATGACTTTGCAATCGAAGTACAAGGTATACAACATGAAAAATATCATGAATTCTTTCATAAAGGCGATCCTAATAATTTTATCAAACAGCAAGCACGGGATCAACTCAAGAAAGAATTATGCGAAGAGAATCAGATTGCCCTAAGGTATGTTTGGTATTACGAAGACTCATACACTGTTATTCCGGAGCATCTTCGAGAATTGGGTCTCATTGAATAAACTCGAAACTTTAAATGCTCTATGATCAGGATTGGAAAATTCGATTCATACTGTCCCTTTTTCGGGGAGCTATTTTCTCTAGGAAGTATGATCATCGCACATGCTTTATTTTTTCGTAACAAAAAGATATTAAGTGTTGTAAATACACAATATACTATTTCTCTTGTTTTATTTATTATTGCAATTGCAAGTTAAGCCTGACTTGGGCGAATATTATTAGATCTGTTTTACTTAATGATTATTTCATACATATATTTTCTGTAATATTTCCTAAATTTGCTAATCTCTACTGACGCCCTTCTTTCCTGTTTTCTGTTCAGTCAGGCCAACAACAGGTATTCCATTTTTGGGCGCCTTAGGTGTAATGACCGGGCGACGAGAAAAACTTTTTCGGGGAGGGGATCCAGGGGATCCAGATTCATTGTGACTATTGATATTTGAATAGAAGGAATCAATACGGCACTGAATAGAACAATAGAACATGGAAAATGAAAAAAGGTAAGTATGTGGAAGTTGGAAACAATTTGACCATAAAGAAAAAAGTGTTTACTTTAAAAAAGTATGTCTCGGATATTAACCTTCTTACAAGGTTAAATTCAGAAAGATCTTGGGCGAGTTTAATTTCAGAAAGCACAAAGAAACGGTAGATGCCGTCATACACTAAATCCATCATACATAAATGAAGGAACCCCCCTGTTTTACAAGAAAGTAATTAAAAAATGTAAGTGTCCAAAAAGTGAGAACAAATAAACAACATACCACAAATGTGAGCACCGAATGCTTGTCCTGATTTGTTTTCACGCAATGACATCATTTTATTAATGCCTCCTTGACAGAGAATTGCAATCTTGTAGATATCATATCCACCAATGTCACTGTTTCTTGAAATAGAAAAATGTTTCGCCTCAACGAAACAAGATTCTTCTCTCTCGCCCTTTTCCAGAATTCTACAAATTACCATATCAGGTTTTTTTCCTTGAGGTCGTCCGTATGTCATGCGGTGTTCCTTGGATGATGGGCTTTGGCCATTTGCCCTTGTCAAGGAAATTAAAATACCACATTATTGTTAGAAAACGGTTAATATAATTAAAATTTCAAAAGAACATATATGTTTGCTGTTTGCCTATCATATTACATTATATCTTGAGTCACGAAACGTTTCTTTGAACGTATCATGGACATATTCGTGCATTATTGTATCTTCGTTCTTTTCTTTGTTAGAAACTGAGAAGTGCATCCTCTCAAAGCTTGAAGAAAAGTCATTATAGGAAACGGCAAGAAAATGGACAAGGATTGAAAAATAAAAAAATCCTTACAATGAACGTGCCACAATCTGCGTGGTTTCAAAAATGCGCCTTTCCTCATCCGAATATATTACATGATCACGGTATCTTCCCCAGGTTTCGTAGAACTTATAACGTAGTTCATCGATGTCATTTATGACCTATTTTGATTGTGATAAATGCTATAATTATGAGATTATTGTAAACAGACACTCAGCATCATTACCTTCTCGTAATTATCCATGATATCTCGGAAGAAATTTGGTGGGTTTGGTTGGTCCGCCTGACGAACTGAAGAACGCCAACTATGTTCGTTTATGGAGATGTAAGATGGGACTTTCATTCTTGCTAAGTCAATATACATGATGGAATGAAATGATCTGTAATATAAAGGTTTCATTAGGTCTTGATTTTAATCATTGATATGCGATTAAACTATACTTACAGGATTTCTTCGCAATTTGCTGAAAAACGTAAATTTTCTCCACGTTCTAATTTGTCAATATTGGTTAATTGAAACTGACGGAAAGCGGTTGAAACGTTACACCCTTTAATGATCCACTAAAACAGGTAAAATGGATGCAATGGCTAGTACATAAACCTTTTTCCAAATAGAAGCAAATTCAGTGAAATGAACTTACATCCTTTTTTGAAATATGATTGCGGATTTCTTGTCGTATACTTATATACGCGTCATGCAATATGTTATTGTCAAATATGATATTCTCATCCTGCATATCGACTAAGTTAACCGCCAATCCAATTCTATTTGCAATATGTAGAAGATCAGCGAAAGAAACAAACCTTATCCTTCGAAATTTCTTCGTCATCATTATCTAGCTCAGAATCTGGTTTTTTCTGAATGGGTATATCAAATAAAAACACGAATTTTGTAAATACAAGAGAAATCCAATCATTTATTAAAAGAAAAGGTGAGTTACCTTTTTTGTGGATATCAATGCGTCCACATCTGTGACAGAAGAGGAGGCTTTTCTCTTTGATTGTAATTCCCCTTTCAATATCTGACAGCGTCTTTCTCCAACCATGTTTGAATGCAATGTTTCTTCTTCAGATTTGCCAGCAACGTATTTAAGCTGACAGAGACACGTCAATTTACATAGTTTATACAAAAACATGCGCGAAAGTAAAGAACTTACATCCGAAATTGCCATTCTCAATCGGGTTTCTGTTGCAACAGATAACAGGCGATGTTCAAGACCCGAGATTCTGTGCTCACTCCAGAAGTCTTGTACTATGGTTGAGTATTTGTCACCCTTAGAAGAATAACTCGGTTATTAGCGACAAATTTTTTTATTTACTGGAAAATTAAGATTTAACAAATGCTTGGGTGCAATTGCAGACTGGACAGGCACAGGGGCTATCCATTGGTTTTTGGCTCAGGGACCACCAATGTAGTCCAGCAATAGACAGTGGCATCCTACCAAGAGCTGAACGCGGGGGATCTGCTCATGGCCTGCAACGGCACTGTTGATCGAACTGGGAACAAGCAACAGGGGCTATACACTTAGTCTGGCTCAGGGATCCAACCAAATGTGTCCAGCAATAGACAGTGGCATCCTACCAAGGCCTCATCGTTGGAAATGAGGATCAAGGCCCGTCATACAGATTCCAAGCTTACGTATTGCCATAATAAACATAATAAAAAATTTTCACCTTAAAACTAGATAGTAATTCTTCAACTTTTAGTCTCGCCGATTCTTCATATACACTAGAAGCGATGTTCCTAAGAAGCGTCTTCCATGCGCTATGCTCGAGTTGCGTATTTGAGAAATCAGTAAATTGTGATCTCCACCGTAAAAAACCGATAAGTGTCCATTCTGACGACTTGAATTCCTTGCCCTTGGTAATGGTGATTTACTTTCTGTAGAAGACAAAAATTTCCATAAGGGTTTTTACAAGTCACGATTGTCACGTGGATTTTTCTTTTTCGAACTAAGCCACCGTTATTTTTATGCTAAAATATAACTTCCGAAGAAGCTAATACGAAAGCAAATGTATTATTCATTTGTAAAATACACATTTAAAAAATTCGAAATAAAATCTTTATTATATTTTTGTAAAGTAATACGTGAGAAAGGGCCGGCCGGCTAAGTAAAAAATGAAACTAATAAAAGATATCTCGTTTAAAGGGAGGAATAAAGCACGAAATGAAATAATATCATGCTCTCCGCCGGCCCCTGGACCGTAAAAGGCGGTTCCTTCTCACTACCCCATATTATTTTCGTTATTATTATTTGCGCTACTCGCATTATTATTATCTAAACTAGCAATTTCTTTACTTTCTACCCATCTCATAATTGACATCACTGTGGTATATTTTGGTTCCCCTTTACCATAATAAAAACTTTCTACAGTACTCTTTCCAATCTTTTCCCCGGTAAGATGTCGAATTTCACATCTCACAGTTTCAAACGCATAGTCATTAGTCTTCCCCACTTCCTTTTCTGAGTCAAAAACTCTCTTAAAACGGTTCCTATTTTCCACAAGAGATGAATTGGATGAACCGGATGAATTACTGGATGAAGAATTAGCGCTTCCACGTGATCGATTTGAAGCTTCGAATTGGTTCTCACTCAACTGATCAAATTTGATCTGAAGTCTTTGGGCAATTGCATAACGTTGGATCATTTCATTTTAGAGAGCTTCAATAGAGGCTCTGACCAAATTGAATTCAGATAAAATGTTGCCAAAATCATTACGGCAGTCTTCTTCAATATCATTAATAAAATTTTCTGCACCTTAAAAAAGTAGCCAGCATCACGAGAATTGATTTTAGTGATTTCTCTAGTAAGTTTCTTATTAAGTTCATTGTTGTTTCTCACAAGCTCTGCAGTGAAAGTAGAATTAACTTCAGAAAGGCATGCGGAAAGTTCGTTGGCGATTCTAGTGTTAACTTCTGCGCTAAGTTTTTTGTAGACATCATTAAGGATTCTTTCGATTTCTGCAGTAATACTTCCATCACGTGAGAAAAGATCATCCACGATTTTAGTGTTAATTTCATTCTTAATTTTAGTGATTTCTGCAGTAATAGACGTATTGATTTTGATATCATAAGCAGAGAGTTCATCAGAGATTTTTTGTTTGAGAATCATCCACATGTTAACGATCCTATGAATATGGTCAAAATAACGAGCAAAAAAAACAGCGGGTAGAGCCAAGAATGACATGCTTTCTGAAGAGTTGAATGATATTAAACTAGACATGTTTAAATAAAGTGATGATGCGTAGTAAATTTATTAAGAGTTTATTGGTAGATCAAAGTTTACAATGTTTGATCTGACAAGTTATTTAGATAAACGAGTTTTTTTTGCATAAATGCGCTAGGGAAAAAAGGTTTATTTATACTGTATCCCTACTACGTGTGAAAAGAGAATTTAATCTGATTTAAATAGATCAAATAAAAAATTACGTTGCTTCATTATATGTATTTATCATTATTACATTTTTTCATAATTATATTTTTTCCACTTAAAGCAATAAAATGACAGCCTGAATCCTGTCTAATAATAACAAATGTCTCTTCCCTGAATTGTAATAATAGTGCTTAAAAGAAAATCTGAAGAATTACAGTTTTATGATAACTTAATGTAACACTAATGGAGCAATGCTATGTCTCAAAATTTTTCATTTATTTCTAAGATCTCTTGCAAAACAGAAGATCGCATGTGATACATCTTTGTTTGAGTTCACAACCCCCTATTTCAATTGTAATCATTGTAATCATTATAATCCCAAAAAAATCAGAATATTTGTTCATCATAGATCGAAATCTGTAGATGACGAATCACACATATTATCACTAATTTCTATTCAAAAACAGATTAACGTATTATTAGCCATATACGTAATTTGAATGCGCTAACACAAGTAGGATAATAAAAATTTACCGTTTATTTACACAAGGGTAAATCTGTAAATCATAGATTCTAATCACTCTATTTTCATTTGAATTTCTTTTTAACGGCACCCTGACTTATGATCTGCAAAATGTAAATCAGAGATGTGTATTTTTATTAGTAATTCAGAACTGCGTAATGAGTGAGATAGAACATACCAGAACTTCTTTCAGCTTGACGCGAGAGAAAGTTCATCAGTATAGCAACACAAAAATATTGCTCTTGGCTGGGTTTATTAATAGATCCGTTTAAAAATAACGACTGCGATTATACACAATCACATGGCCATATCTGTGAAATCAGCATATTACTGCGTATAGTATATTCTGTATATATAATTCACATGAACTAATGATGTCTTACTGCGCATGAAAAAATAAGATATTGTACTGCACATTTCAGATAATCTAAAAATGCATAACGAAAGTGACGTGAAATACTTTTATTGGTCAGATTTGCGTGATGCATTAAAAATAGACGATTTTACATGAGGGCGTGACTCAAGGGTTTCATAGTCAATTTCTATGAATTTATTGTTTTATTCACATAAAATATGTCACATATCTTTCAAATCCCTGACATTCAACAACTTATTGACCATAATAATGATAAGTTGCTAAAAGAATTTAAGCAGTTGTTAACCACTTCGAATACTACGCCACGTGCTTAAAATGTTGGTCCACACCCAGCCAATACAAATAACAACTGGAGAAATAATAATAGTAATAATAACAATAATAATTGAAACAATCAAAGTTGTTATAATTGTAGACGATTTGGACATATTGCTAGGGATTGTAGACAAAGAAATAATCTCAGAAACCAAAATAATAATGGAAATAATCGATACAATTCAAATAATAGGTCTAATACTAGAATTATTTGTCATAGTTGTTACCAAAAGGAACATATTTTCAGGAATTGCAATAACCCACCTAGGAGATCTTACCCACACTGTAATCAATTTGGACATTAGGGATATGTATACCCAACTAGGAATGTAAACAACCCTGTTGGAAATACTGGAGGAAATGTTAATACACCAACTGGTTTTAATACTGGACAATGTGCTTCATTATCACAAACGATCCCAATGTATAGCACATGTTTCACTCTACTGTCACAAACCTCCATGACCTTTCTTCTTCCGAATCTACCACTAGCAAACACCCAAAATCTGTTTGCTTTTTCGTCCCAGTCTTTAAATTATTGACAGTACTTCAAAAGGGTGAGTGTACCAATATAAATATAAACACCTCAGAATTACCAAGAGCTGTAGAAGCAGTTTATTGTAATGCTACTGTAGACAATAAACTAATATATCTAATTTTAGATTCCAGATCAGCTGGCGGTGTAATGTCTAAATCCTTTCTACAACTATTAGGGTGAAAAATTGAATCAGCTTCTACTATCACGATGATTAATATACAAGGAGGACGATCATGACCTCTGGGACGAGTCACTAATATTCCCTTATAAATAAATAGTATAGAAGTCTCTATTAATGTCGATATTACAGAATTGACTGATTATTATATAGTAGCAGGAAATGATTGGCTTACTAAATGTTGAGAACGACTTTATTGAAATTGTCAAAATTTATATTTATCTGGAATAATAAAGAATATCAAGTACCTATGACCTGTTGGGAAAAACCACAATTTGATCATTTTCAGCAACCTGTTGAAATTATCAAAAATTCCTCTGATGAAGAATATGAAAATGAGGAATTAATAGTCCAACGACACTACATGATATTGAAAGATCACAATGACTCTATTCCTTTGGCTAAAAGTAGTTCAAAACAAACTTCGGTAGATGAACAGAAATATTCCTCCAGTACTTTGAAAGTTTAAACCAAAAATTTAATGTTCAACTACCCAAAGATGTAAAATAGAAATATCATTGGTAAGAACCGGGAAATCGATGTTGGTGCCATAATAGATTAGATAAAATTGAAGATAACTGCCAACTATGTAAGAAGGAATGGGATCACTGGCAACTACTACAAAATATTCCAGATGAATCATCATATTGCGAAGTGACTTATAAATATCTTAATGGACCTCAACAACAACAAATCACTCAATTTCTACACAAAAATAGTGATGCCTTCGCTGAAGATTTATTACAATTAAAGCATACAACGATTGAAACGCATCATATACCAGTAGAAAATCTGATGCCTATACGACAGCGTGCGTACAGAGTAGCTCCCTTGGAACAAGAATTTATCAAGGATAAAGTTAGTAGGATGTTGAAATACAATCTGATACAACCTTCTGAAAGTCCTTGGGCTTCACCTGTTGTTTTTGTTCAGAAAAAAAATGGGAAACTTCGATTTTGTATCGATTATAGAAAACTTAATAGTGTTACCCAACGAGATAGACATCTTTTACCACATATTAATGAACTGTTAGATATGTTCGAAAAGGCTAAGTATTTTTCAACCTTAGATTTAACCAGTGGATATTGGCAGGTTGCTATGGACCCAAATGACCAAGCTAAAACAGCTTTTATAACTAGTCAAAAACTTTATGAATTTAAAGTAATGCCATTTGGATTAACAAATGTACCTGCAACTTTTCAACGTTTAATGAATAAGATTTTTAGAGAGGAGATCGGACAGTTCATAGTTGTGTATCTTAATGATATTATCATCTTTTCAGATACCTTTGATACACATTTATGACATTTATAGCTCATCTTTAAACGATTAAAGGATGCTGAACTCAAATGATAAATGCAAGTTTGCTAAGTTAGAATTAGCATTTCTAGGATATATTGTGAGTAGATAAGGAATCTCGCCAGACCCTCTAAAATAGATAAAATCAAGCATTTTTCAATCCCAAAGAATATCACTGAGTTGTGAGGATTCCTAGGACTAGCGTCGTATTATAGAAGATTTATTCAGGATTTTTCGACATCAGCTGCACTATTACATTTACTATTACGAAAAGATATACCTTATGTTTGAACGGAATCGCAACAAAAGGCTTTTGAGTATTTGAAAACATGCCTAATAACTGCACCAGTCCTAATTTATTCTGATTTTAAACGCAAGTTTTTATTCTTTACCGATGGTTCATATATAGGCCTTGGCGCAGTATTAACACAATTGGATGACAATAATAAGGAATATGTCATAGCTTATGCTAATCGAAGTATAAGCCATGCTGAATGAAATTATGCTCCAACTGAATTGAAATGTCTCGCCGCTGTATGGGAAATGAAACATTTTTGACCATATTTGTTACATCAACAATTTGAATTAATTGCAGCCATAAAATGGCTTTTTAATAAACCTGACCCCCCTTGTAAGTTTATGAGATGGATAATTCGTATTATGGAATTCCCATATCAAATTCGATATAAAAAAGGAAAATTACATTTAAACGCTGACGCATTGTCTTGATTTCCTCCACAATAACCCACAACAATCATAACAAAAAAATCTGAAAGTAAAAGCGTAAGTGTTAGCAGCATGACTAATAGCTCTACAACATGAAACCTGAAACTTACCACCAATTATACCAATATCTTACTCAACTTATTTACCCCGAACCTCACCCCTTCACAACTACATGCAATTCAAAAACAAGCTCAATATTATTTTGTACAAAATCAACAACTTTATAAATGTAATCATAAACATTCAACTCAACCATTACTTGTAGTTAAAGTTGATGAAGTTGAAAGTATTCTACATAATATTTACAATGAACCTTTAGGAGGACATTTAGCACGCGACGCCACTTATAACAAAATTGCCTCTCAATACTACTGGCCTAGTATGTATAAAATGATTGATAATTAAATACGAACATGTGATGTATGCCAACGATAAGGAAGACCAAAACCCAAAGAACTATTGCACCCTATACTTGTTGGATAACCCTTCGACCATATTGGAATAGATTACGTGAGACCACTTTCATATATAACAAAAGAAATAGGTATATTATTGTGGCAACTGAATATTTGACAAAATGGGTTGAAGCCAGTGTGTAAAATCTATGTGCGATTTGTGCAATTTTGCACATATATTTTTTGCTTTGCACAGATTTACTACGCTAAATGTGCTAAATTTACACATGATAAAAAAATCTGTCGCACATATATGCACAGTATTAAAAAATTTCGCACACTATATGCACAGTAGTACAATTTTGATCATAGATAATCAATTT